CCTTCTTTTTTAAGACTTCATAATAGTCCCTTGTATGTGCAGACCACATTTTCTTTATTCATTCTTCAGTTGAAGAATATTTGGGTTACTTCTACTTCCTGGCTATTGTGAATAATGTCACAGTGAACATGGATGTACAAATATTTCTTCAAGATCCTGCATTCATTTCCTTTGGATATATACCCAGAAGTGGATTGCTGGTTCAAATGGTGGCTCTATTTTTTTAAATTAATGTATCATTGATACACAATCTTATGCTCAGGTTTCATATGAGCAACATTGTGGTTACTACATTCCCCCTATGATCAGGTCTCCACCACACACCCCATTACAGTCACTGTCCATAAGTATAGTAAGATGCTATGGAGTCACTACTTGTCTTCTCAGTGCTATACTTCCTTCCCTGTGACCCCCCCTACATTATGTGTGCTAATCATAATGCCCCTTAATCCCCTTCTCCCTCCCTTCCCACCCACTCTCCCTAGTCCCTTTCCCTTTGGTAACTTTTAGTCCATTCTTGGGTTCTGTGAGTCTGCTGCTGTTTTGTTTCTTCAGTTTTTGTTTTGTTTTTATACTCAACAGATGAGTGAAATCATTTGGTACTTGTCTTTCTCTGCCTGGCTTATTTCACTGAGCATAATACCCTCTAGATCCATCCATGTTGTTGCAAATGGTAGGATTTGCTTTCTTCTTATGGCTGAATAATATTCCATTGTGTATATGTACCACATCTTCTTTATTCATTCATCTACTGATGGACAGTTAGCCAGCCCTCCTTCTAAGTCTATCCCCATGATCAAGGCCTTGCAGAAACATAGGCCAGAATCTAACCCAAAAAAGTGTTCTGGGGCCCCCAAAGAAGGACAGAAAATGAGCTGTTCTATGGGGGCACCTTTTGGGCAGAGCTAAATGTTAGAGCCAAGAACTTCTCTTGACTATCCATCCCTCTGTTCTTGTGTTTGTTACAGATTGAGGCTCTTACACTGTGTTTCCCCAGAAGTTCATTCCTCATGGGTTGATAGTATGTGTTAAGATAGTTCCCATTTCTGAAGAGACATGTTTCTAGAGTTTTCCAAAAGTACATCTGATAGCATTTTTCCTAGAGTCCCTCTCCAGTGATTTCTCTGTGTTTTTAGGACTGAGACAATATCATCTTCTAATATATATTTCTAGCCTTTCAATTTACCTAGAAATATTCTGTGGAGAGGCTACTAATAATCACCTTCCCTGATCTTTTCCAGGGTCCTGTACTCACTTTCTCCAACCAGAAATAACAAGGTTTGATGAATTTTGACAAAGGCTCCTGAGAAGTTGGGACAAAGTCTCTTTTCCTAATTTGAGGTTCAGGACTAGGCATCAATATTTATGGATGCAAAAATATGTTCCATACACCATTCTAGGCACTTGGCTACATGATCTTCGAACATACACAATGAATTTGAAATAGTTATATTTAGTACATCCATTTGAGATAAGAAAAATTAATTAAGAAATCTTTAAAAGATTACCCAAGCTCAAAGAACTGGAATCTAATGTAGCTACTGCAATTTACTTCTGGGTGTATTGTATTCCAAACTTCACAGTTCAACAATCACTACTCCTCACTGCTGTTCAACAAAACCCTGGGCAGATGTTCAGAAAGAAGCTCTTTGGGAGACACAAAGTGAGCTCACTTGACTGTGGAATGAGCAGAGGTTTTCCAGTATAGGTGAGACAGGCACCATGGGCTTAGGCAGAGTAGGGTGGGGGCCTCCAGAAAAAAACAGCAAGATAATCCACTGTGAGATTTGCTTTGGCCTGCTAGGGGGCCAAGCTTATTTTTCGACTTTACCCAGGTGCTGCTTTTCCTCCTCCAGCACTAATCAAATGATCTGCAACCTGGGCAATTTAGCAAGCAAGCCCAAAACAATGTAGTAAAAACAGGAAGGATTCTATCTTAAAGATGATATTGCATTTTAAAACCCAGTTAGTTAAAAAGGAGGTTTCTTAACATACTCCTTAACAAACAGACAATAACTCAGCCAACTTTGGGAGCAAAGCTGACAGTCTTGATTGATATGCTCCCAGACCAGGAAGCTGCTATCCTGGGAGGAAATCAGAGCAGTAAATTTCTTGACTAATAAGACTAATAAGAAACTTAATGTCTCTTCAAAAATAAACATTTTGGGACCACTTAGCAGGTCTTTATCCCTACCCTTTTGTCTCTTAACTGCCTATAAATTCCCTAGACAGTGCACCACCCCGGGCTCTCTTGTTCCCTCCCAGTGTGAGCCAGGAGCTCTGTCCTCTCACTTTATCTATAAATAAAAGCCTCTCACTTGCTCTCCTTCCTTAAGTGTTTGTGAAGTTCATTCCTTGACTCTGCCAACAGGAACCCCGGCATCAGAGAAGGAAATATTCTGGAAACACAGATGGCAACTACCAGTGGATTCTCACACTCTGGCATGTATAAGTTTACCTCAACACTCTAAATCAATCTGTAATTGTGAATAAGGTACCCTATTTTATCAGCATTTTTTTGTACGTGGGCCCATACCTCATAGAATGGGAATTATTTGGGACATTCTATTTCTAAGACAATTTTCAGAAATAAATTCTGATTAGCCTTTGCCAGAGGAGTTTAGAACAAATGTTATCTCTCAGATGCTAGATCATATATTGGAGAGCGTCAAATAGCTCCAGTTGCTGCTGTGCTGCCAAGCACAAACTTAGTAATTGTGATTACCAAAAGCACAGACACAGAAATAGAAAAATCTGTTGGAAACATGTTGTCACAAACTGCTCCCTTTTAGTTGGAACACCTGAGCTCCCCAAAGGGAAAAGACTGTCCCAAGTTCACATAGCATAGCAAGTGAATTAGAGTCAGGACCAAGTGTTAAATGTGATTCATGACCCAATTTCCTTCCAACTTTATCCCACCATTTATTGACAAGAAATGACCAGTTATTCTCACAACTGTTTTCTGTCTGTGGCATTGATTATAGATTGTCCCATCTGTTGAAACTGATAAAAAGGAGGCCTCCAGAAACTTCTCTGGGTCCTTGGCATCACTGAATTGATGCTTTGATTCTCCATTATCCTTGGTCAGCCCCTTACCCTCATATACAAACAGAAACACAGACAAGAAATCAATTTAAATGATTCTGATTTATTGCACAAATACTAGAAATTGAGGGTACATGAAAAAGATCACAAGTACACTCATAATAAATAACATACTGAGTCATGGGGTAAAGTGGTTATGAAGCAAGAGATTAAGGCCGGATGAGCAGGTGTGCAGTAGGCATTCTTCATGGAGAAGATGACCTGTGCATTGAAATCTTTATAAAGATAATTTGCAGCAATGAATCTGTGAAGAGCATAGCAGTTGTGTGCTCTGTGTTTCCATGAAGTGGGCACGTGATGAAAGGCAGGCAGGGGTCAGACAGCTATCAGAATGGTCTTGAGACAAAAATCGTGTCACGTACATAGAAATGCATAGTCAACAATGTGTTTAAAATATGAATTTGGAGAAAGAGTATATATTACACACTTATCAAGACCAATTGGAAAATCTTGTAGAGGATCCTGGTAGGCCAGGCTTAGGAGTTTGGGTGTGACTATATGTGCCATGGATGTGAAATGATTGATACCTAAGGATGGTCAGGAATGGAGATACAGCCGGGCAAGCCACACAGGGGAAGGGTATATTTTTGTGCTACTGTCTAATTTTGAGAAACAATTTTATTTCAGGAAAATGAAAATTAAAAATCTGAGGATTTGAGGTGAGATAAACATACCAAGTCACTTAATATTTTGTTTTGTGGTTATGTGATCACTTTTACATTCTGAGGAAATCATCTTTCACCTTTGAATTTTGACATTCTAACTACATAAAATGTAGTTATTTTATTAATAAGTTCTGAATGGTACCCCAAATGATTTTTTTCAGGCCCTCCATAGGGCCTGCTTAAAGATGCAAATTGCTTTTTTCTTTCCCTAATAAGAAAAATAGCAACAAGCAACAAAAAAGTCATTTTGCTTATTTTTCTTCACTAGTCTCTATCCACAGTCTACTGTCTTATTTCTCACATCTCATCTGCCCCACTGTCTCTTTCTAGATGCCTCTACAAATGTTTCAGGCATTTACTCATCACCATTACTCTGTTTTGAGTTTCTCTGCACCTTTGGCCATCAGTCACCATTGCTATTTTCCCACCCCATGTCTGTGCCTTACCTGGAATTGACCTCACTATAGACTTCTCTGGAGCCAGCAGATACTGTCTCTGCGGTAAGCTATTCTCCATTCGTCCAACCTCTGTCTGTTTTGGGCCACCCATAGTCTAATGTTTCATGATTCGCTTTTCTGACTTAAGTTTTGCATCTTCTACCCTGGATTTTTTTCCTTCCATTTACCCTATGATTACATGCATGTGAATATTAACTTGGCTTTACTTTTATCTCAAAATAATTCTCTTAGAACATGAATCTGCTTTACTTAATAATGCCCTCTCCTACAATGATGCTGACTTGCTATCACCAAATCTTATTTTTGCCAGAATTCTGTATTGAATGCCATCCGGCCCTTTGCACATTTCTCTTTGGTCTCCTAAAAATGAAAGTCAAAAGCTAAGCTCAATTTAGCTCTATCTGTACTTATCCTTATCATTCATACTTCTGATTTCCTAGCATTTCTTTAAACATATCAGGTATTCTCTTTGATTTTAGATTCAAGCACTTTTTGTATTAATCAGCCAATTGCTTGCTCAGATCCTTTAATTCAGCTTGTTAACAAGATCTACCAGTCCCTTCTCCCCATGCTTTATATACAACCATTTCTCTCCATTCCCACTGACTTCCTTTTAGCAAGGACTTCATTCACATATTCATCTTTCATTTCAAATTCTTCATTAAATGATCTTTCCATTTATGGTTTTCATGTTTTTACCCATTCATCCATCCCACCAGTCACTGAGTAACTTAGTAAAATTCCCCACTGCCCACTCATCAATCTGCAAACATTTTTTTAACTTTATTATTTTTATTGAGGGACATACAATAGAATGTACAATTCTTAGCATACAGTCCAATAACATGTGTGTACTCTCATAACCATCATGCAAATATTATTGAAAAACATGTCAGTGAATGTGCTGGTGATTCAGGCAATATAAGATTTTTATAAAACTTTGTGTCTCTGAAAAAATATATTATCCTTGAGGGGAGATAAAATATTTGCATATAGTTATATATGTGTGTTTGTGTGTGGGTATGTGGGGGGGTATATTTGGTTAGAAAAACTCATCTTCTAGACAGAGGAACAATCTCATAAAGAAAATTTAAAGAATGAGGTGAATTTTAAGATAGGAATTGAAAAAAGAAGAAATTCAAGCAAGCACAGAAGAGAAGACAGAACATTCCAAGCCAGGGTGCTGATACGAGATTGTCAACCATAAAAGCATATTTAAGAGGAAGTTAGAGTGGGATCAGAGAGCTTCCTTAGAGTTCGGATAGAATGGACTTAAATTTTATATCATTAGAGATTATTAAAATTTGGAGGTTGCTTTTATGTTTATATATCTATATGAATTAAATAATTTACATAATGATCCCTTTCTCTTATAGAGCACTTTTAATTTATGACGTGTGGTTTGTGCCTTCCCGCTGCGCACTCACTACATATGAAATACGTGGGTACACAGTGTGAAGGAGACAAGTGTGGGAAACTTTAGCACTTAATTGTTCCCAGCATATGTTTGCTGGATGAACTTTGCCCTTAAGGTGCTTACAGTCTGTCAAGGGGACATATATTATGCACATCTGTCATGCTTGTGACCTCTAAAAAGGGCTAAAAACCAAATATTATCAAGTAGCCTAAGTTTAATTCAACTCTCAACCAGCCTTCCTCTTATTTTCCCTAACTGCACATAGTAAACTCTTAGTATGTGTTGACTTCCCAGAAGGGATGGCTGTGAGATAGCATTAAACCAGAAAAACACAAAACTATCATATCTACAAATGGGAGACAAGGGAGACGTTTGGGTGAACAGAAACAACAAAAACAGAACACTGCCATCTGGAGAAAAAACCAAAATGCAAAATTGGCAGACCATGGAGAGAACTGACATTCTTCTAGCAGCCCCTTAAACAATCACCTGTGGCTTTCTGTACTCTTTGCTGTCAGAATGTTCTGAACACATGATTCTTATCAATCAGTGGGAGAAGATGCCTCTGCTCTTTCTTCCAACTCACTGTAAATTGGCGAATATACGCTTAATTCTTCATAAAGACGATCTTCTGAACGCTGATGAGGGAAAAATCATTTAACGTCAATCACCAAGAATTCCCCACCACTAGAACACTTGTTCTAGAGGCGGGTCTCATCTCCTTGTGTCTTTCTGAATCTCCGCCCTCTCTCCCATGATGCTGCACTTACTGCCTCTGTCTGCAACCAACCAAACTGGATTGCCTGGCCGAGTGGGCCCAAAAGGAATTACAACAGTCGATAACAAGTTGGTGAGGCTATTACATGCCAGAACTTGTGTTTATCTTCTGTCTTTTTGTCGTTGGAGGAAAGTGTTCAAAAAAAGCAACCAGACATGGGAAACAAAAGCAAAAATGAACAAGTGGGACTATATCAAGCTGAAAAGCTTCTGTATAGCAAAGGACACCATCAATAGAACAAAAAAGTACCCTACAGTATGGGAGAATATATTCATAAATGACAGATCCAATAAAGGCTTGACATCCAGAATATATAAAGAACTCACGCACTTCAACAAACAAAAAGCAAATAATCCAATTAAAAAATGGGCAGAGGAGCTGAACAGACAGTTCTCCAAAGAAGAAATTCAGATGGCCAACAGACACATGAAAAGATGCTCCACATCGCTTGTCATCAGAGAAATGCAAATTAAAACCACAATGAGATATCACCTCACACCAGTAAGGATTTCCACCATCCAAAAGACAAACAACAACAAATGTTGGTGAGG